AATTAGGTCAGGAGAGCACTGGTTGCATAAGGGCGGCGAACGGCCCGGGCCGGGCGGCCCCTCCTCTGCGCGGGCGGGCGGGCGGGCGGGCGGGATTGTGTAACGGCTGAGGTAACCGAAGTGGGCCACGCTCGGCTCGGAAACCATCCCGCGAGCTGGTGCGGGGGGCGGGGAGCGCCCCGCTGCCCTGTGACTCATTGTCACCGCTTCCTATCACACGATCCTCAGCTGAAAGAGCTGCCCCCCCTCCCGCCGCCCCGCGCGCGCCTGCAACCTGTGCCCTGACCGCGAACCCCCACTCCGCAAGGCCGGCGGGCGACCGTGACGGGCCACCACCGCTCAGGGACCTTCGCGGACTGAGCTGGTGACAAAGGGGCACGCCTCTGTCCCGCTTCCCCGTGCTGCCTGAGCAGGGATGGCCGGGCGTCGCTGTTCAAGGGCAACGTGGACAGACCCCGGACTCCGGCTGGCGCTCGAGCTCCCCCAGGGAGCAGTTCCCCCATTCCACCCCCCGCACACCCACACGTCTGGACCCAGGAAGTGACCGCCGAGCCACTGGTCGGTATTGCCCGGCTCGGGCTGGCGGCCAGGAGTTGGGCAGGCGGAGCGGCGCAGTGTCTGGCGAAGCGTGCCGGGGAGGAGGCGGCCGGGCAGGGCTGGGCAGACGTGGCCCTGGGATCCATGAGCCCTGCGCCTGCCTGGGATGGGTGGAGGAGGGGGTGGGCTGGAATCTCCACGTGTTGAATCTCCTCTCAGGTTTGCAACAGGTAATGAAGGAAAGGAAGGAGCCAGGGCAAACTGGGGAAGACTGGCAACTGGGGCAGACCCTCGCCACCCCCAGCACCCTATTGGTGCCCAGTCAGGGCACACTCTAGAGTCTCCATCCGGCTGGCATATGCTGGGGAAAAGGGGTGGAAAAGGGTGGTGGAAAAGACTGTAAGCTCTGCTCTTGTGTTAAGAGTAAGTAATGAGCACCCAAACAAGCCCTTGGCACACTCCTGGGGGAAGAAACCCCAGAAAAGTCTATTCCAGCAGGAGAAGCTAGGTGGGGGGGGGAGCTGGAGCAAATCGAGAGAGATAGGTGGGCCTCTTAAGCCCAAATCGCCAAGGGAGGTGCCAAGCCCTTTAGGTATTCCCCAAGGGCCAGGCACGTGTCCACAGGCCCTCCTCCCCCTTGGTGGATGCTACCACTTTTCTCTGGGGGCTTATCCTTGCACTTTGTTAATCCCATCAGAGCAGTCAGGATGAAATGTCAAGACCAACTTCAACCCTTTTAAGGGGAAGGGACCTCCCAACAGGATCTTTGTGTGGAAAGGTGGCAATGTTGCCTCATGAGTCTAAATACTGCACCCCCTTCAAAAACAAGAGCCCCAGTTTCTAAGTCTGGACAGTTAACTGTGATTTTAAGCAGATGCCTTTCCCTCTCTGGGTTAGACTTTCTTCATCTGAAGAATGGGTTGGTTGAGCCAGATGATCTCTAAAGGCCTGTCCAGCACTAGTATCTAGTGATTCAGTGTTGGTGAGAGCCAACCTCACTTTATTCCCAGAAGCCTTGTCCAGGTTTGCTGGTATTTGGTCATCTGTGATCAGAGAATGGAGCCTTGCAAATGCACCCCCATTTTCTTCAGAGGAACTACATATGTGTTGAACTTTATAGACAGAAATGTCACTAATGTCACCAGAAGATTGACTTGACTCATCTTTCTGGTGATGAGGCGGACGGGGGTAGGGGGTCACATCTGGTCACCTTCCCTCCCCCTTCCAGGTGTGTTTCCTTGTGGATAAACCCTATCTCTGCAGCCAGGGTGCCATGAGCTGGTGTAGCCATGAAGCAGGGTGCCAGGGTGGCCTCTGTGGTCAAATTGCTGCAGACCTGCCAAAGGATGGCTTTAGAGAGCGACAGAAATGACTCCTTTGTGGTGGGGAAGCACAGTCCCTGCGTGGCTTGCGGGTGTGGCAGGTAGGGTGTTAGTTAGTAGGGCTGGGAATGGTTCCCAGTAGAAAAGTCCTAGATAACTTGCCATTTGCACAAGATCCATCCTCATACAGGACTTGTCTGTGCCGGGGGCCATTCATGAGGGTTTGTTTTTTTTTATCTCTCATTTTTGGCAGCTCCAAATGACCATTTGCTTTATAGCAACCGGTCTCAAATTTATTTCACCTTGGAGTCTCACGAGGACGCACTACATGATGCAGAAATAGCATGTAAGCTCCGCCCAATGGGTTTCAAGGTGAGTGTGGGACGGGAGGGTTGGGTAAGGGGGTGTACTGTAGGCAAGAAGTTTCAGGAAGGGCTGCCTCCCTGGGGTGAGAGGCACTTGCCAAGGGAGATGGCTTGGCTGAGGAGCTGGGTGTCAGGTCCTTTGGTAGAGGGTGACTCAGGCATCTGCAAGAAAACTGGATTCTTCCCTAATTTGATCACCAGCTGATGACCTGCGGAGCAGTCTGGGCTTTGTGACTTTAGAAAATGGACTTGGGAGCCAGACACCCTGAGTTTATGCCCCGACTCTGCTGCTTTTACTCACTATGTGGCATTGGGCTAATGACTTAACCTCCCTGGGCCTCACCTCCTTATTTGTAACATGGGGATTTTCAAAGTACCTACTTAACAGGGTTTGTATGAGGATTACATGAGTTAATTCATATAATATGTTTAGAACAATCCCCGGGACATAGATATGTGTGTTTGCTGCTATCATCATCACCATCATCACCATCATCATCATTTTCCAGGGTCAGTAGAAAGAGGCGGGTGAGATAACTAGTACCAACTGGCTATGCCACTTTGAGTCCTTAGTAGCCTTTGTCAGCCTGTCAGTATCCCTAAATATGTGGAAGGGTGGGGAGAAAGAAGGCAAACATCTCCCAGGTGCCAGGATGCAAAGTGTCACTTTCTGCATCTCCGGCTGCAGCTCTGACCCTCAGCCACATGTCAGTATTTTGTTTAGATAAAGATTAGATTTCAGGCAGGATGCACTGCTACTTGCCAGCCAAGTGGCTGTGGGGAAGTCACTTCACTCCCTGGCCCCCAAGTGTCATGATGTGCAAAACAAAAGTGAATGCTATGTGCCTGATTGCCTCACTGGAATGCAGTGAGGGTCAAAAGCGAACACTGCCAAGAGGACATCTGTGAGCTGGATCTTGCTGTAGCGCTGTCTCCACACAACCCCACGATGCCTTCCTGGACTTATCCAAATCCAGGTCCATGAGCTCTATCTGCATCCCATGGCATACGAAGAATCCAGAATGTTTCCGAGTTCAGAAATAATACATATTAGGTAGCACCTTCAGTGAGCTCTGGGCAGCACCCCGTGATCAAGCATATTCATATTTGTGCAGCAAATTACACGAAAAGTCACACTAAGTGGGATAAAGACTATAGCACACTTTATATCATTTTCTGTTAGGTTTTGCCACCTAATGACTTGATATCAAGCTGATGAAAATGTTAAATTATTAGACTCTTTTGAGCTGGGGATTTCAGCTAAAACACTCTGGTTTTGCAACAGGGCCATTCATGTCTGAGCAAATCTTGTATCTTCTTTTAAGAGAAGGTTTTCATGGGTGGTAATAGATATTAATAAGTTCACTTTCCCAAGGAACACATTTGCAACTTGCTACATAACTGATGTCTTAACGCAAAGGGCTTTCAGGAGAACACTTCCAATCTTGCACCAGTGCAGGTCAGGAGCTGGGAAGAGGACTTCTCTTGCAACTTTTTCTGCTCCCCCCTAAACCTAGGGCTTTGCTAGTATGGTCGAGTGAATAGTAGTAGTTCATTTGGATGAAATGAGAAAAGTGATTTCTGCAGTGAAGGAAGAGTTAGTGTAAGTATTTAACAGTTTCATCTCCCCAAATGACGAGTGTAGGCTGGTAGTAAACTAATGAAAGCTACTAGTGCCTGGGGTTGAGAAAAGCCTTGAGCTGATGCTTATTGTAAATCAAAACCACCTCATGGCGATATGCACACCCTCCCTTTCTATGTGCCATGTGCCTCTGGGAGGGGTCGCCTCATGTAGCCCTGTTCCAGTCACCCAGGCAAGGCTCAGTGGTACTCAGTTCTGCAGGTGATACGGCTCTCAGTGGGGTGAGCTGCTGCTTTGGCCCAGTTGGACCCGGTATGATTCTTGGGATCCCAAAGCTTCTCCATCCCCACACACTTAGCCTTCATTAGCCCTGAAATGTTATGTGAGCCTTTCTCCAGGGCACTCCTGGGAACCACTACTGGGAGGCAGAGCAGCAAGCTGTCGGTGTCCACTTCTCAGCTGAGAGTAATCTGCAGAAGGAGGGGGACATAGGGAAAGATCCCCAAGAGGTTTGGAGCCACCCCGCAAGCAGGCAGTGGGTCCCTGAGAGCTGGGGAGTGCCCAGTAGAGGCAACCTGGATAACTAAGTGACACACAAGGGCAGTTGTGAAGTCATCAGTCATTGGAGTGTGGGGAAACCCCCCTCCTCCCCTAGGGCCTCGATGACAAAAGAAGACCATCCTCCGAGCCAAGTTGCCAGAGTGTCCAGTCCTAAGCCACAGGGAAGGAATGCTCTTCCCACCTCTTCCCCAGGATGCACCTCTGCTCCCCCTAGAGTTTCTCCCAGGACCTTTGGGTTTGTATTCCCAGGAGGCACAAAACTTCCTTATACTTTTGTTTATTCCAAAATGATGTTCACTGAGGTAAAGTAGGTTTACATCTCTGTATCTGCTTTGGGGTTATAGGTTGAAACCGCCACAAATGTGTGCTTTCACACCCTGCCCACCAGCAGTGCCCCCACGATCCTCCACCATGTTCCCTTGGGCCCCGTCCCTCCCCCATTCTCACCCCACCACCCTCTTCTGGGTGCCTCAGTTTTATAGTCAGAGGTTAAGACTTTATTATTGGTTTGGTTTGGTCTGACCCTTTGTTAGGCTTCTCTATATTCCACATACAAGTGACACCATCCGGTATTTGTCTTTCGCCTGTTCACTTATTGCGCTTAGCATTATCTTCTGTTCCATCCAATTTGTGAGAAAGGCAGTTGATCCCTTTTTTGGCAAGGGAACAGAAGTGAACTGAGGAAAAACATTTTCTCAGCCCCCCTGCTCGTCCTCTCCAGCCTGTTTGCCAGGTGGCAAAGGGCACAGTTCAGCCCCACTTTGCCACTAGCTACCTTTGAGATCTTGTTGAGGCCATGCCCCTTTCCTTGGGCCCTTGGGCTGCTTCTGAAAATGACCCCAGATATAGGTGGTCGCTTGCCCAGTTATGTGGACTAGGCCTCTGCTTGATGACGTGGGCAGGTTCTGAATGCTGGTTAGTATATCCCCTCACAGAGGGTCAATCTTCCTGTTAATATACTTGGGGAAGCTGCCAATACAGAGATGGTGGGTTGCAGGGGAGGTAGTGTGGCACAGTGGTTAAGAATTTGGACTTTACTCCCCCAAATTCAACCACGAACTCAAACCCTGATTCCACAGTTGACCAGCTGTGTTATTCTGAGCAAGTCACTTTTCTGTGTCTCAGTTTTGTTTTCCTCAAAATGGGCTTCCGAACAGTTGCCTATATTCCAGGGCTGTAGACAAGACAGTCCTTTTGCAGTGCCTCACACAACACCCACAAAGAATTTAGCTGGCGTTTCTGATGAGAATAGCGGATATAACACCTAAGAATGCGATTGAATCGCTCATGCTTTCTTCCAGGCACACTTCAGAAAAGCACAAGCCTTAGCCACCCTGGGCAAGGTGGAGGAAGCACTAAGGGAGTTTCTCTATTGTGTATCTCTCGATGGAAAGAACAAGAGAGCAAGAGCTGAAGCCCAAAAGGTGAGTGGAAATGATGCCATGTCCTGCTTCCCAGTGGGCTCCCACCTCTGTATTCTCCAAGGAGGGGAGTGAGGCATTTGCCGTTCTTGGCATCTGGGGTCCTGCTTGGGTGACTTCCCGGGTTAAGGGGAGAAGACGAGGACACAAGTAGCAATGGATCGTCTCTTGGGTACAACCAGAAGTAGCAAGCATCACTGCCTTTGTAGGTGCCTGGGGGAAATGTTCCTGCTTCTTTGATTTAGGATCGAGGTTGTCAGTGGGATGGAAACACAAAGCAAAATTAAACCAAATCAGTTCACATGGGGCTCGAGGTTCACAGAGGAAATTCTAGCTGTGGATGAGAGGTCAGGGGTGTAGGGCTGCCTGCAGGTAGAGAACTTCCCTTTGACTGAGTGACAGCTTCACCAGCCACTCATGGCAGCCAGCTCCCTGTTGGTTCCCCTGGCCCGTGCCACTTGCACAATTCCAATCATCACCCTCACTAGAAAGAGAAAATGTCCTCTGTCTCACAAGTGTAAGTCAGGAACCCCCGTGGACTAATCCAATCAGTTATTCCAACTCATGGATCCCAGAGGATGTGGCGGTTACTTAAGAAATGGCCTGAGACGCTGAGAACACTAGTGAAGGTTCATGCATCCACAACTCATAGACTTTGTGCTTCCGATTCTGCAATTTCCTCTCATAGCGGCTGGCTGAGGGACCTGGCAGTTGCAGGCTTGGTGGGGCTTGGTGGCCTCTGCTCCACCCCCCCCATACCCATCCCCCCTCAGCCCGATGCAGTGCGTTTTGGCAGAACAGCAGACAAGGGGAACAAGAGACAAGACGGGTCTGAAGGCTCCAGAAAGGAATGTTTAGCGAAGGCTGTGAACTAGGGGAAGCTGAGCTCTGGAGCTCCTGCCTGTCATAGAAGATTTCTTGCTGGAACCTGATTTGGGAATGTGGACAAGATGTTCTTGAGAGAAACACTGGTGGCTGAGAATTGCTCCTTGTCTTGGGCCCTTCCAGTCTCAGGTGTTTGCAGCAATAAAAGTAGCTAGCACTTACTGAGCACTTCCTATGCACCAGGCACTGTGCTGTGAGCTTAACTTCCCTCCATTATTCCTGAGAGAACCTGCTGGAATTTACCCCCAAGGTACACAAGGCAGATGAGGAGGCTGAAGGTAACTTCCCAGAGGTTACTCAGCTAGTGATGGGTGGAGGAACATTCCAACCCAATTCCATCTGCTTCCCTACTCTACCCTCCTGGCCACTCCACCACACTGTGGTCCCAGGAGGACATGCCAGGGGTCACAGAACTCACCCCTGGGACTGGGAAGAGGGTAACAATGGCACTATCCAGTGCTGGCACGAGGACAAAGGCTTTGGGGATAGAGCATTTAGAGGCCATCAGAGGCAGGTGTTGGACCTAGAGGTGAGTGCTTCCTTTACTCCTGCTTGTCCACTGCCAAATGGGAAAACTGGTCTCATCAGTTGGTGCATCTCTCCCTGGCTCCATTTTCCAGATCCACTTTTGTCATTTCCACAACTATCTAACAGAATGCGACTAGACATTGTGCTACCTTTGGAGATCCAAAGAGCACAAGCCAGCGTCAGTCCTGCAGGCCCTTACCACCTTGCACGTGTTCTGTAATGCAATATAAATGCCAGATAACACAAGTGAGCAGTTGCCATAATGACGGTTCCAGAGTTCTGAGGCTGGGGCAAGAATTAGGAGGGTAAAAACGCACAGTAGCCAGTTGGATATAGAGAGGGCGCTTAGCTGCGCTTAGTCACTGCCACGTTCCAGTTCGAGGGCTAAATAAACTGACAGAGAGGGTGTGCGTTCACATGGTATTCATCAGCTGCCGGAGATGCTCACAGGTCTCGGTTGTGGTTTCCTTTATTTATTTTTATGGCGGTAACATTGATTTACAACTCTGTGTTTTAGAGGTATAGGACCTCTCCCCTTTTAAAGTTTTTATCTCAGATTCTCTTTTTCCCTTCTTGACACATTTGGGCTTTTCTAAGGCTGACACTGAAGTGGAATTGACTTTCACTCATGCGGGATGATTATTCTCACTGAGCGGTAATCCTAATTTTTGCTTTTCAAAGCTCTTGAGAAGCCTAGAGCGAGCTCTCGGAGTCAAGGGGAGAAGTGCGGTGCTCCCCTTTCTTCTGTCTTTCCTTCTACTTCTCCCCTCTGCCTCCATTCCCTCCCTGCCACCCTCTGCCCTTTGAGCCTCTGCTTTGGGATCCCTGTAGTGTGGCTGTAGCATGGCTGCCACTGAAGCACTTCCTGCCCTTTGGGGAGGATTCCAGAGAGACTGCCTCAGGAGCGGGTGGATCCGTCCTCGGCCACTCAGGAGCGCTTGTAGGGCTGACCGGGGCGCCGATGGTGGAGAGGCCTTGGCACCGAGTACCTCCCCCTCTAAGTTGACTTAGATGCCTTTTAGACCTGCCTGGGAAGTGGGTTTCCCATAGCTGGAAGAAAACAGATTTCTGAGGGGAACCTTGGACCTGAGAACTAGGCCTGTCCCTGAGCGTGAGATGGGGAAGTGTCTTAATTCAATTCCATGCAGTGTGATGAATATTTATTGGACATCTCTCATGTGCCCTCCAGAAGCAGACCATCTGGTTAGAAAGACTTCATCTGTGACACAACCTGAAGTTAGTACAAGACGGTGTAGAGGAAGGTGCTATTAGCAGAGGGGGCAGGGTGGGAGAGGAAGGCGGCACTAGTCCAGAGCCTACAAGCAACATAGCGAGTGTGGGCCCTGCAGGAGAGTCATTAAAGAACTCTTGTGGCTAGCCAGGGAACAAATCCAACAGGAGGGCTTGGTGGCCTGTGACATCCCTTGATTCATTAGAACCCTGAGCAAGAAACATCCTTGAGTAGGTGTTGAAGCGCTCAGTGGTGTCCACTTTAAGATACTTTAGAAACCCAGTGAGCTGCCCCCTCAGTTACATGGTACCTACTACATGCACCTGTGTTGCTGCTGGCACCAGGTCAGCTGAAGCAAGACTGGAAAGCTGGAGCTGCAGGCTGCCCTGGAGCACGAGTCTTGAGTCCCCAGCCCCTCTGGGCCTTCTTCCTGCCTCCACGCCCCTGACCACATCGACGGGAACCTGTGTGCTCCTGGCACTTGTAGTTGCCCAACATACTCTGGAAAGTGAAGGCCAGAATGGGGGGCAGAATGAGGAAGGAGAGGCTGGGAGAAGAGGGAGGAGGGCTGGGTTCTGCTTTTCTTAACACTTCACTCTGAAGGGAGCATAGATCCAGGGGTGATGATTGGGCAGGAGGGAGGCAGAGAAAAGAAATTTTAAGGAACCTAGAAGACACTTGTAGACTTCTACACCCTGCAAAAGATTTCTGAGCAGTACTGGGACCGGAATGGTGGTTCTTAAGTTTGTCAAGGGTAATGGAAGAATCGGCAGTGCTTTTCACATTCCCCATTCCTGGGCCACACCGCCCACCTGGGGACCCAGGAATGGGAACTAGGGACAGAGTTTTCATTAGCTCCCTGCCCCCCCCCAATTCTCATGCAGGGGTACCAAGACACTCTGCTCTGGTGGCTGGGGGCACCATCCACACCTTAGTCCCCAGGGTTTCCCCCCAAGCCACAAACCCCACCCCTTCCCCTTCGCCCCAGCGCCTGTAGAAACTGAAGTAGTGAAGTCTTCTGTTTTATGTCACAGCTTCTCCTTAGTTTCTTTTCACCATCAGTCCTGAGGGACTCTCAGGAACATTCTCCCGATATCCTGAAGCTGTTGGCACCTCACCCTAGATTAAAGGAACACGTAGAGTCAATGGCTACTGAAGGCACCAGCCATAATCTACCAGAGTTGGCACAGGTAAAACTCAACTCACCCAGCTCATTGTGGCACTTGGTTTGGCTGTCTGTGGGCAAACACGGGGTGTGAGCCCCATACCCTCCCTCTTTTTCACTTTTTAGGAGCTCTGGGATGTGTCCTTTGCTAGAAGGTGATTTCTCAAAGATAAGCCTAGGTTTGGGCATGGGTCCAGAGTTTCTGTTTTATTACCTTTATTTTTCAGTTCTTGGCCAGGGTCAGCTGAAAGAGGTTTGACCAGACTAGAGAGGAATTAGCCCACTTCCCCTGGAGTTCTTCCCCTGGGGGTGGCTGGCAGCCCCTCTTTTCCTGGGGGGCTTTGTGCACCGCCGGAGATCCTTGAGGAGAAACTCCATCCGATCACCACATGGACTTATTTCATATCCGCACACCGTGTTGGACATAGGAGCAGACTTCCCGTACACATTTGTAGTCAAGGAGGGGAGTGATTGAGGAAGCATTAAGTTGAATTTCCTGGGAGGAAGAGAGGTACCTGTTTTTTTCTTTGACTGTCATGGAACAGAATCACAGAGAGATAGGCTCCAGGCCCAGGCTTTCCCAGCAGAGGGAGTGAAGCTGGGTCTCCGAAGTGTACCTCTGAAAGGAGAGTGTCTCTCCGAAGCCCCCCTTACCCAGGGCTCGACAGGCAGTTACCCTCCGCCTTCCCTATATTTGTCACCTGTGTGCCAGCTCCAGCACCGTGGTGGCTGTGTGGCTTCCCTGACAGCTGGAAACCTTAGATTTTCTCAGCCCCAGTGAAGGACTAAGATGCAGGTGTGCCTGATTCAAAGACACAGGGCAGACCTTCGAGTATCTCGTGAAATCAGAGAGCCTCTAGTGCATTTCAGTAATTGTTGGAGATCAGGATCGCATGACTGAGCACATTAAGACTGAATCAAAGCGCCTGCAGTGACTTCTCATGGCAGCTCAATCCAAACTGAGGAAAAAGGGCAGCCCTGGCTTTCCAAGGGGAGCCAGCTGGGGAACAGGGCCTGGGTTTCTGCCCAAACATGGCTCTGCGAAGCAGGGTACTCCAGCGCACACAGTGCAGAGGGCTCATGGAAACTCGAGGACGCTGCAGGCTATGGTATTGAAAAAGGCCTCCACTCCCGAGGAGAGGGACTCAGAAGACCCTTTTTCCCTCACTTTATTGTTTCGGCCTAACTATACCACCCAGTTTTCATCTACCTACCAATCTTGGCAGGATGGTTGCTGTCAGAGGGCAACAGCCACATGGGCCTCTTAACCTGAGGAGGACGGCTTTTGAGTAGAGTGGGGTTCTCCAGGGAAGATGGGCATAAATGCCAACCTTACGGTGCACTGGAGTTGCATATCTATATTCAAACATCCCTTTCCTGGACAGAAATTTTTTACCAGGCTAAGGACACGGGTGATTGTTGGGCCACATGCTTTTCTCTTTTTCAGACTTCTCATGCACAATCTAGGAAAGAGAATAGTTGATCTTATCGAAGAAACTCCTTGGTTAGATATGAGGTCACTCCACAGGCGTAGGGACGTACCTGTGCTGAAGCCTTAGCAAAAGTCCCTGCGGAGCTGGGCTGTGGAGGCGGTGGCTGGCCTGCACTGGTGGTGACAGTGAGAGGAAGCATGCCATCTGCCCTCACTGCTTGCCTTGGTTTCCCTGTGGTGGTAACTGGGGAATGATTGGGATTGGAGAGGGGACTGGCGCGCTACTGCTGTGTGTCCTTCACCACTGCCCAGCAGTTTCCCCTCGACGCCTTCCTGTTCTCGTGCAGGAATCTCCTTCCCTCCGCCCAGGCGGCCATGCCATTGTCACACACGCTGCTGTGTCTGTGCCCCAAAGAGCTATGTGTCTCCGGCACCACCGGGCCCTTCCACTTTTTCTCTGTCTCTTGTGGCTAGAGAATATCACAGATAATATTGGGCCTACATACATGCTGATGTTTGGCTCTTGTCTTCTCCAGGAAAATCTGGCACTCCCACATTGTTCTGGTCAGGATGAGGCAGCAGCCAGGGGAGAATGCAACTCCCTGGTGAACCCAGCTAAAGGAAAGGTGGATGGACAAGAAAGCAATAGGAAAGACCGAGAAGAGGAGGAGGAGAAGCAGGACACTGCCTGTTCAGAAACGGCCTCCATGAAGACTGGCAAATGCCAGGAAAAGAAAAGAAAGCATTGTCAGCTTGAGTCCCAAGACCCAGAGGGGCCTAATAAAGTCTCTAAGCAAGGTACCAACTTCACCTGGGGGAAAGGGCTTGCGGGAGATGCCTGGGCTCAGCAGTCCCCAGGAGGGCTCCCTGGGCTCTGGGGGGACCGCCCAGCTCTGCTGCTTAGCTGTGTGGCTTTCTGCAAAGTTGAAACCTGGCAGCGAGAGCCTGCCCAGGTCTCAGCAGCCTGCCAGTGGTCGATACTCACAGGCCCACGGCATAAGGTCAGGAGAATATCAGTGTTATCGGGGGCCGCTGATGGCTCCCTTCCTTCTAGGCCAACCTCTGCCTACCCCATCCCCATGCCAGGAATGGGAGACCAAGGAAGTGTGGTCAGGCCTCCCTCTGCTCGTCCCCAGTTATGCGCCACAGGTAGGCATCTGAGAGGCAGCAGCTGTAGTTTGCAGTCTTCCCAAGAGAGGTTGGCAGTGCCAAGATTCAACCTCAGCTTTAAGGCCTGGCGCAGTCTGTGAAGCGGCAGCAGCAGATTGCTGCAGAGTGAGGTGCCTGGTGCAGTTGAATGAAGTCTCCTGGACATTCCCTGCCTTGTGCTTCTCTCTCTGGGGCTGCAGGGAACCTACTGGAGCCTGCTTCACGCTATCTCATTGTCAGTGGTCAGGTGGCCACGAACTCAACTCTGGGAAGCAGTGACAGTGGCAACCCAAAGAACAGTCTGGCTCATTACATGCTGCCAGGAAGTCACGGTGGTGCGGGCTCTGACTTACTGCTTTCTGAATCACAGATCCTCCCGCTGGTCAGGAGGCCAAACCTGCACTCCCTGTTCCACTCACATCTTTTGATGCCTCTGACCTTGAATGCTCCCTGTGTATGAGGTAGGTGATGGATGCTGTGGCTGAGCAGCCAAGAGCTGTGCTTCTGGGTGTCTGGACCTTTCTGCTAGTGAGTTTCTGCTTTGATAATGAAATGTCTGCTTGGAGCCGAAATATTTGCCCAAAAGCTGCTAAGATGGTTGCCCCAAGAGATGTCAAAAAATATTTTGGTTCACCACAGAGGGGACCCAGCCAACAAGGGCGCTTCAGATGTTTTCTTGTCCTTTCCAAGAGCATAGGCCTTCCATACCAACCACATAGGTTTATATCTGGAATGACTTTCCATGTTATCTGAAGAAGAAAGAGTAAGGTAGCTGTTAACTGAACATCTGCTTTTCCTTTCTCTCTCTCTCTCAAAAAAAAAAAAAAAGACTAGAGTCATCAGATTTGCTCATCAGCTCAGGCAGACTTGGTAGTGAAGCCTGTTCTGCTGAGGCAGAGTGGGCTAGGGTGGGCTGGCTTTCTCACCAATTCTCTTTCACCATCCTCTTCTTCCCCTCAAAACAAAACAGCAGCTGAGTAATGTCAGAGCCAAGGCGAGAGATAGGGATTCTCCACTTCCACTCAGAGAAATGGGCTCTTGAGGTAACACCCTTGTGGGGCTGAGGCCTCAGTGTAGGCTCTGGCCTTTCAGACACTGCACTTTGACAGACTTGATTCCGTGGGCTCAAAAAGCCCAGTTTTTAGCCTGCTTGTCCTCCTACCAACATCCAGCAGACCTGGAATCAAACACACAGACTCATCCTGTCTCTCTTTTCCCCAAGAACTGAGAATCCCAAGTTCAAGGTTCTTTTGCTCTCTTTCCTCTCCTTTCTCCTTTCATTTTGTTTGTCCTAGGGGGTTTCGGAGAAAGTTAGAAATCTTGCCCAGGAAATAAACACCAAGAGGTTAAGGCCCCTTTCAAGGCTGATCACGCTGTATGAAAGCCATCACCCTTCTCCTGTCCCCCTGTTCTTAGTGTCCCCTGCTTCAAAACAAAACTGGTCTTTGTCTGGACTGGATTCCGTGCAGCACTACCGTGGCTGCTGCAGAATGAGAAGAAAACTGTTTGCAGGGAACCCTCATGCCTTGGAGCAAGGGTTACGGTGTTAAGAGCCTCGGCAGGGTTTGTTTGTACATCAGAAGTTGACAGAGTATTCCTTAGGCCTGCTTCAGCTGGATCTCTTGCTGTCTTGAAAAAGTCTGTTTTCTCCCCTCTGGTACTTTTCTGCTCTTTCTTATTACGAGGGCTATTATTAGGTTTTATTATGACCCCCGCGGGTCTTCATGAAAGAGGGTTAAGGTGAAAGACATTCAAACAATGCCAGGTAATGAAACTGGACACTGGTACTTCGCATGCAAGTTTCTAGAAAATCCAGTCCTGTAGCACACAAGTTAGTGTGAATTGATGTATTCTGAAGCTAGGGAGAAAGGCAGAAACCGTTTATAATACCTCAGGGAAAAGGGTGGAAGGAGGGAAGGGGCCAGTAGAGCAATAACTGCAGCATGTGCGTGAGGGGTTTCGTCACCTCAAAGCCCCCCTCGCTGGACCGGGAGGCCTCCCTGCAGCTCAGCACTCTCCCCTCAGTCTTCAGTGACAGAAACTCCTCTTTGGGGATATAGCGAATGCAGATACTCTAACCACTGGGACCCGCTCTGCTGAACAGGAGTACTTTTGGGGTGACAAGGATGTTTTGAGGTATGGAGCAAAAAAGTTTTATATTTGAACCAATTAACCTGAAGGGCCAGTGACCTCTGGCAATCAAAAGGAAAAGCTTTGTATTTAACCTAGTTTTAAGGGCTCAGGTTAGTTGGGTGTTAAGGAGTTCATTTTCTCTTCCATCTCCCTCTCTTTCCCTCCTTCTCTCCTCTCTTCCTCCTTCTCCTTCCCCCTTTGCTCTCAGTTAACAGCAGCAAAAGAACACAATATAAGGGTGTAACTGGTGGGGAAGATGGCTACTCCCAGATAAGCCTAATGTTTTATCCCAGCTGACTGCTAACTGAAAGCATTTGTTACTCCCCTTGTTTATGCCATCCTTGTGACAACATGAAATGCTTTCTTGTGAGGAAATCTGGTCCTTCTCTGATTTATAAGTGCCTCCCTGAAGTGTTTGCTGAAGTCATTACCTAAAGTGGTAAAATAAAAGAGAGAGAAATTCAAGTATATATCTATTTCTAGCTTGTTCTATCCATATATCTGTGTATCCACCTGTCTGTCTCTGAGTTCTCTCCTTTCTCATAGGGGATGGTGGAGAAAGACAGTGAGGGAGGGAATGACGGACAGGGAGAGAGAAAAGAATCTATACATAGATGGATGATACAGTTCTAGATGTAAATATAGAGAATCTCGACTTTGTCATGTAGTAGAGATGGAAAATGGGCTTGGGGATCAGTAAGAGAAGTGAGTTCTCATCCTGAGCTTGTATGACCTTGGGCAAGCTAACCTATCTGCATCTTCATTTCCTCAATAGGTAAATGGAGTTAATCATAACTGCAACCTATTAATGAAGTTAATTTACATAAAAAAAAAGTACTGTGCACACCCAAGACAGCGAAAGAACTATGTTCTACCTGTTCCCACTTTCCTCAGTCAGCCTTCGTATTGAAAGGTGATCCAGTCTAAGCCTCAGAACACAAGTTATTTCAAAGCACTTACTATGCAGCATCCTGGGCAGCGTTCTTGTTCGTGACTACTCAGATCAGGGGCATTTTAATCTTAGCTTTTGCTAAGAGTTGCTGTGTTCTTTTGTGTTGCTTTCATTGATCTGCTCATTAAATGTCACTATGTCTTGCAATTAGTCAGCTCTATCATTGTTATTTTATGTGCATTACATTCTTAAATGAACAATAAGCCCAATTTTGAAATTCTCAGGAAAAGTTGTTTTGCAGATATAGATTTGTCCACCATCATCATTAGCGTCACCAAATCGTGTATAAAAAGCATTTCGATTCATCGGACTGAAATTAGTGAGGAAATGAGCTATTCTGGTTTGCCTGCTCTCACGGTTCGATCACAGCAGTAGTTCCCAAATCAGCCTGCAGATCACACTTTTGAAAAACATTTTAAATTGCGAAATATACATGAGTGGGAAAGTACATAAAATATAAATGTATTCTCTTAAAAGATGATCAAGACGAAACAGAAGCAAAAACCCCCTCTTAGTTCAAGAAATAAAACATTGCCCAAACCCCCAAAACCCCCATAGACCACTTGCAATTCTCCATCTTCCCCCCCCATTATCTTGACTTTGATCTTGTCTTTGTTTCTTAAAAGTTGACTTACTCCTTTTTTACTCTTCCTTTCTTCCTACTTTCCTCCCTCCCTCCCTCCTTCCATCTTCTCTCCTTTTTTAATGGCTTGATTTACATGCATCGTGCAATGACGACAACAGTAAGCTCAGATAACATCCATCTTTTCTTATTGATACAATAAAAAGAAAAAGATAAGAACGAAAATAAAAGGCAGTTTCCTTGTGATGAGAATGCTTGGGAATTTTCTTCCTTAACAACCTTCCTATATAGCCATAGAGCAGGGTTAGCACTTGGTACCAGGTTGTGCCTTACAACATCTCATGATTTTTTTTTAAATTATTTATGCTTACAGAACTGGGGTACAGGCCAGAGGTGCAGGGGGTGAGAGGGTTCACCAGAGACAGAATGGGGAGCAGAACAGGCTGACTGATGAAGCACACTGCTGAGGGGAGCAGCGGGCGGGTCAGGAGATGTCTGCCACGCCATGTGGGTCACCTCCAGGGCAGGGATCGAGCTCATGCTGCAGTGGCTTCGGAGAGCTTCACGATGGGGTCCTTTAACCCATTGCACTACCAAGGAGAGCCCTCATGATTGTTTTAAAAAATAGTTTTACCAGCTTGTGGGCATCTCTAAATATTATGATTTAGCTTTTCTAAAGTAAAAAAAAAAAGTTGTATTTGTTTAATGTTTTATTAACATTGGTTTACACTATTACTTGTGTTTTAGAGGTAAAAGATCTTGCCCTCCAGGTGTCGTTCCTATGCCATATCTGCCACTGAAGCCCTCACAGCCCCACTCCCAGTCCCTTGAGTGCCTTTGCCACTTTGTGCTCACACCTCTCTTCTGGTAGTTCCAGCTCTGTAATCAGCTTTCCAGGATTTGTTGTTAGCTTGCCTTTATCTCATCCCCTGCCTGGTGTCTCTTGAACCCTCATATGAGTGGCACCATCGAGCTTTTGCCTTTCTCCCTTCCACTCATTCACGCAGCTGAATCCCCTCCAGCTCCATCCATGTTGCCATAAAGGGCAAGCGCCTGTTTTGACACTGACTGGTGTTCCATTAGCGACCCATGCCACAACTCTCTGGTCCAGTCATGTGTATTTGGGCGCTAAGGTTGTTTCCATAGTTTGGCTATGAAAATGGAGTTTGGCTTATTTTGAAAAACTATCCTTCAGTTGAGTTACCCAGCAAATATTCTGTTGCTCTGGCCTCTCTTCCTCAGGATTAGGAGTGTCCGTGTTACTGCATGTAGGTGAGGTTTGTTCATTTTCACTACTGTAGAGCGTCCCATTCTCTGACTCTGCCGCGGGCTGTGAATTCTATTACAGGTGAGTATCTGGGGGTTGTTTCCAGTTTGGGGCTGTCACGGACAGCCCTGCCTGCTATGTTTTAGCCCATTTCTATTGAGTCATCTCTCTTTTCCTCACTGACTTGTACGAGTTCTGTGTATGTTCTAGAAACCAATCCATTGTCAGTTGTACATGCTGCAGATACCTTGTCTCACTCTGTGGCTTGACCTCTTGCTCTCTCAATCGCATCTTTTTAAAAAGATTTATTTATGCATACAGAACTGGGGTAAAGGCCCAGAGGTGCAGGGGTGTTGAGAGGATTCACCAGGGACAGAGTGGGGAGCAGAACAGGGAGATGGACAAAGTACACTGATGAGAGGAGCAGCGGGCAAGACAGGAGAGGTCTCCTGCACCATGTGGGTCACCGCCGGGACTGGGGATCGAACTCACACTAAAGTGGTTGCAGCTAGCTGGCAGTGCTGTGTCCTAACCCATTGCACCACCAGGGAGGGCCTCAATGGCATCTTTTGATGTACACAAGTTCTGAATCCTTTTTATTGCAAAAGGGATATGTTCTTTATTTGTACTTTTATACTATAAACCAACCTGCAGCAAAATACAAAACAAACTTTTGGAAAATATTAATGAACAATTAGGGGTTGTGGTAAAACAGAGCCAAACAGGCAGTGGAAATACACAAACACCTGCTTGCTTAACCCTTCACTTTGAAAATGGAGTCTTTTAACAAGTGTAGCCTTCCAATCTCAGGGAAAGAAAGAGAATAATCCTTTATTACACAGCTGCATGCTTTTACTTCCAATTCCTGAGGTGGGATTCTAGATCCCAAAGATGTCCAAGCAAGGATTGGATCTAGGTCTCTAGCACACAGACATTTTCCCTCACAATGCATAGAACAGCCTAGCCCTTCATTTTAATACTGTGAAAATCACTGGTCTTTTCACTCACTTAGTGGGTTTTTTTTTTTTTTTTTGGTGTATCTTACCTAGATTTTTGTTTTCTACCTTGAAGTTATAAACATATTCTCCTATTTTACGTTCTGAAACCTTTACTGTTTGCCTTTCACGTTTATTTTTACAGCTCACATGGAATTGCTTTCTGTATTTGGTGTGAGAAATGGGCCGACTATCTTTCTCCCGATGCAGAGTTGGATATCCCAGATCGCATGGGCTGAGATGCTGTTTGTGTTTAAACCCACCCCCCACCCCTGCATCTGTCCTGGATCAAGAATCTGTGGCTGGGTCTATTTCTGGAGTTTCCATTCAGTTCCACAGATCTGTCCATCCTCATGCTAGTCCTCTGCTCTTTTAGTCACTACAGCTTTGCAGAAACTTCTGACAAGTGGTAGAGAAGGCCTTAGCGTGGCTTTCCTTGGCTCTTTGCCTTGCCTTACAAAGTTTAGATGTCAACTTGCCAAGTTTTTTTTTTTTTCTTTTTGGTTCTTAGTTAAGCCATCTTTACTTTCTTTCAATCAAGATCTTTTTGCAATCAAGATCTTGCACAACTTTTGTTACATTTATTCTTCGGAAAATATTTGATTTGCAAAAGCAATGGGAAATGTCATCTTTGTTATCATGTATTTTCTAGTGTTTGTTGCTGGTATATAGAATTACGAGTGTGTGTGTGTTCCGCATCCTTGCCACCTCTATCAATTCTCATTACCTCTAGTAATAATTCTGTAGATTCTTTTAGATGTTTACCATTTGTGAATAATGGTGATGTTTTTTCATTTCTAATCTTCACACTTTTATATATCTTTTCCTTGCCTTAGTGCACTGCTGAGGAACTCTGTAGTAAAGTTTTTTTTTTTTAATGTATTTTGCTTTTTGGCCAATGTAAGAACTAAAGTATATTAATGATTTTAAAGAAATCCATTTAAAACAGCATTATAAAATTCAAAGAGTGGCCCTCCGTGGTGGCACAGTGGGTTAAAGCGCAGCACTGTGAAGCTCTCAGCAGATGCTTCAGCACAGTTCGATCCCCGGCCAGCGAGCTGACCCACATGGTGGCAGCAGACCTCTCCTGTCTCGCCAGCTGCTCCTTTCGGCAGTGTGTTTCAGTCTATTCTGCTCCCCACTCTGCCTCTGGTGAATTCTCTCACTGCCTCTGCACTTCCGGCCTGTACCCCAATTCTGTATGTATCAATAAATAAATCTTTAAAAATTCAAATAGTAAAAAGCACATCTATGTAAAACCTCTCTCCTACTCCAGATCTTTGTTGTCTTGTTAAAAATAGCAAATCTCTGCCCCTACCCTTGATCTGTTGAAGAACACGTGATCCAGGTGGGGCTTTGCCATGTGCGTGCTTTTCAGGCTCCACTGGTGACTCTGTAATTCAGTTAAGAGACAAATACGGCGTGTGCAGCAAGCAGGAGGGCTGGGCAATGCAGTGATTCTCACCCCTGGGTGCACACGGATATCCCATGAGGAGTTCTTCCTGCCTGTTCGAGGATGTGCAAGTGTCTTCTCCTTTGCTTTCTTCCAACAAACCTAATCTTTTTGGAGCTAAATAATAAGAATAAAATCACCTGAGGAAAATTTGAAACTCCTGATACCTAGTCCTTAACTTAGACCAATTGACCTGAATGTGCAGGTGCAGTCCAAGGCCCCATTAATTTTAGGAATCTCCCCAGGTGATGGCGGTACGTGGAGGCAAGAGGGGAGAACAAAGGGGGTGAGGACAGGGTTGGGGGCTGTGGCCATGTTCATTTCTTGGCGGTGGAGGTGGCTTCATCGGTGTACACATATGTCAGTTTTATCAAATTGTGCATCTTACATCTGCAGTTTATTGTATATCAATTGTACAACAATAAAGCTGTTCAAATCAAAGGCTCCCTGGTGGTCTCACACAGAGGAATGGTTGAGAATCCTTGGTGTGATAGAAAGGCACCGGACTGGAAGTGCAAGTTGGATAGATTTTCACCTGCTAGTCGCTGGCTGTGTGCATGCAGATACAGCCTTATCCCCTCTGCACCTCAAGTTCGTTCCGGGTGCTAGGTTCATTTTGTTCTCAAGCACTTTCAGCTCTGACATGTTGATTGTGCTCAGCGCTGCTTGTGGACTAGGCTGCTGGTGCACCTCCTGGCCACACGAGGGTGCTGTGCAGCAGGCAGCCTCTTCCTCTCAACTGAACGCTCTTATGAGATCAAAATAGGCTGGTCAGCCTTTTTCCCTTCTTTCTGTCTTCTGGGTGAGTGCAAGCCCGGTTTCTGAACCATCATCTACAGCTGTCCTCACCCCATGATCCTGCTGCAGGTGAGCCTTTCTTTTAAGCAAAGTAAATCCATGAATCTCTGAATGTACAGTATAACAGCTTTATTAAAGATTCCCAGATTGCTTTGAAAATACCCAGCTCCTGCAAAGCAATCAATATAGGATCTTATTGAAGTACATGTGTGCATATACATATATGTATATATGTGTCTGTCTGTGCCTCTAGCTGCTTGTGACCAAATTAAATTATTCTCTACTGCCTAGGAAAATGATGCATCCATGTAAAAGGCAGAAAAATATTTATGACAGATGTAATCTCAAGATCCTTCAGGCAGTAAACATTGCTTATATGAAAAATGGGATTAAGGTTAGCAAATAGGCTGTCTTTTCTATTGTAATATGATACAAAATACTTAAATGGTTAAGTGTGACTGTGTAAATACACACACATACATATATGTATACACACATATATGTTTCTGTGTGCTTGTTTCTCTAGCTGTGTGTTTACATATTCCCAAATGAACAGGTTGGCTAAGTATGTCCGGATGGAATCTGTTCAGACACTCTGGGAATTCATTTCCATTTTTCAGAAACGTGACAGGGTGGGGGGGTTCTGAATGCTCTAGAAGAGGCTGACTAGAACTGATGGTTACAAAATGATCTAGTTGCATCTTCAACTTTAATAAATGCATTATTTTAAATCCAGCTTAAAAGTAAAAAGCAGATGCTTTATAATCAGGTGGGGGTTTTGTTTGTTTTTTTGTTTGTTTTCCAGTGAAAATAACCTCCCCTCCCCCACACAGATGGGGGAGATGTTTTTCAAATAACACTATAAAATCTTAACATTGAGTAGCTCTGTCTTTTATTATTTTTTTTTTTTTGGTCTTATTGCAGTTGTCTTCCATTTTGATTCCTACATTTCAGATTATTCTATGAGCCAGTCACAACACCTTGTGGGCACACATTTTGCTTAAAATGCCTTGAAAGATGCCTGGATCACAACGCCAAGTGTCCACTGTGCAAAGATGGCCTTTCACAGGTAAAACAGCATTTATTTCTTGGTTGGATTTGCTTATCTGGAGGTGGGTACTAAAACAGTGTCCGATTGGATGCCAAACCACTGCAGTGTGCTGGGGCAAGATACCCCTCAGACCATCTGTGTGCTTCCCCTCTCGCACAGCTACCTCTCCCCTCTCCACAGAATCCTCCTGGACAATGAAGTGGCCTGCTTTTTACGAACTGTTGCTAGTGAAATTAACTTGTGTGGGAAACAAGAGTATTAAATTGATGATAAACATGGGTCTCACTTCCAATCCCATTGTGACACCCAGTTTCCCTTTTGCCTTCTCTGGGCTCGACTAGAGGAGCCCGGATGTACCCTGATCATCAGTGTTTATTCTGTGGTTTGAGAAAAGCACTCCCGGGCCCCCAGGAAAACCTCACAGACCTTCAGTGTTGTCATTGACCCACCTGTCAGCAGCCACAGTATATGTTAACAGATACTTGCTCTTTGAGAAGCTCTAGCACTCCCAGGTTTGTGGAAATAAATCACATTAACTGTCACCTTTGTTTCTCAAGGGGTCCTGGTGGACTTTCTTACAGCACAAGAAGCCCCGGGAACCCATGTTATCTCCCTCCCTTCAGGGACTTGTGTGCCATATTTACTATCAGTCTTAATGTTCCTGGATCCCGGTCATCCCTGAGAGAGGTTGGAGGCTCTGGACTATCTCTAGGTGAATGTCGATCCAGAAAAGTCACAGGTTGAGTTTTTCCATGATTTAAGGGAGTGCAATGAACTGAGCATCGAGGGTAACCCTGAGGACGTATATTGGATTGGGAGGAAAGTTCGTGCCCTGTCTTGCCTAGGTCAAGGAATAGGATTTGCTGGTGTGATTGTAGGTGAGAAGCCCAGGGGCCATATACTTGATATGTTCGTGCTGTGACTGCACTGCAACATTCGGATATGCAGAAGGAAGAAACAGCTGCCTCTATGCTCAGCACCTGCAGAAAACCACTGCTAACATTTTAGCATGTGCCTTTCTTGGTTTACTGTTTCAATAGAGGAGTCACCTCTCTCTTGGACTGGCTACCTCCTGAGTCACTGCTTTGCCCCGAAAAGCGGCTCTAGGCAAAGCACGTGATTCTCCTGTAGCCAGGGGTGACCGTGACTGATGAGGCTTCTTGGAGGCAGATGCTGTGGGATCCCAGACTACGGGGCTAAAAGATACTGTCTCGATGTCTGTGGATACATACACAGGCCCACACACCATTTTCCTGAGAGAAATCTCTTATTCCGGTCATGTTCACTGCTGAATAGACAGGCACGGCCCATGCTGGCAAAGGAAAAATTGTCTGAAGCCCACAGCTTCAGACTCAGGAGCACCCCTGCTGGGTCTGGAGCGGTGGTTTCCATAGTGAGCAACGCTCTGCAGATGTTTTAACTCCTATTGTCTGGCTCACGTGGTTACATACCTGCTACTTACAGCTCACTGAGGATGTATGGGGTGGGGGTGTTTGGGAGGCGAGTAACAAGGACAGCTGAGCTTTAGTCTGTTCCTGAAATCACGGGTTGTAGCATTGCAGTGCTACTGACATGGCATATTAAAGAAGCGAACACAAAACTATCAGTATTTGGTTATTTTTAAAAAAGAAAACAAAATAAGAGACGAAAAATATTTTAGATTTTGCAATATCCAGAAACCAAACATTTGGGAAGGAGGGTGAGGCAGAACACAAAAGGATCCATAACAAAAATTGCTCTTTAGTTTCTTGAACCTCTTGACTCCCCCCCTCCCACTTGCAGTCTGCTGGGCCGGGGGGGGGGGGGGGGGCAGGGGAGACCATGCTGTGAGCTTACAAACACCATGACCAGAAAAAGGAAGTGAAAGGATTTACCCCCCTTTTGGACAGGAACCATGATCTTAATTTCAGGGTTTTAGGAAAATAACTTTTTTTTTTTAATTTCCATGCAGTCTTTTTCTCTTGTTGAAGTTTTTTTCTAATTATAAAAGCAATTACATGTGTCTTTGTCTTAAAAACAAAAGTAACATGTAGAGACTACATGCATGAGGATAATGTCAGCTGCTACAGTGCGGGTCCAGATTCCCCCATTTGTCTCTTCTGCCGATTACACCTGAAGTGCTTTGTCTTCCTTGAGTGACTATGTACTCTCTAACTGCCTTCTTCCCCACCCAGTGCTTGGCATCAAGAAAATACAGCAAAAATGTAATCATGGAAGAGCTCATAGCTAAGTTCCTCCCAGAAGAACTGAAGGAACGAAGGAGGCTTTATGAGGAAGAAATGGAAGAGCTGTCCAAGTAGGTGTATGGATGGTTCTCTTTTCACTTTCACTCATGCCAGTGCATAGCGCTGCATGGGCACATGGTTTCCTAAGGCCCGGTCTGGTTCTGGTAGCTTGATACTGACCATGGAAATTTACAGATACAACAGGGCTTTCCCCCTACCTACCTCAGTTGCTGGATGGTCTCCAGCCCACCTCTGAAGAAGCACAAGCCACGTCACTGACCAGGTTATGTCCTGGCAGTAGTAAATTGGAGTAGCTTAATGGGGAGAATGCACGAAGTGTCCAGAAGACTGTTTTCAAATACAGAAGGAGGTACTATAAGGTTAAGAATGTTCGTATCAGCCTTCAGCCCATTCTGTCACAAAGTGAGTCTGCTTCATGACGCTGGGCAAGTCACTGAACCTCTCTGGGTCTGTTTGCTGAGACCCATAACCGTTTTCACAATAGGTTAATAAAAGTTTTTGCCTTATGGACTTGTTATGAAGATCGAATGAGCCAGTTTGTTGTAAACCCTTAGCACAAGGGAGCAGTAAGGGTGCTGCCTGCTCTGTGCTTTTCTTGCCAGGCACAGGGATTGGGAGAGGGAAGGGGAAGCGTGGTGATGGGAGTGGGCTCCCAGCTCTGCCTGGCTGGAAGCACAGCTCATGCAATGGCAGTCCCCGAAGCTGTCTGTCGGGTGGCTGCCCTCACATCTCCCCAAGCCTGTGCTGTAGCTATGAGCCAGTGTGAGGGTGCCGAGGACTTCAGCCACACTGGAATGTGTACCACATCCGCTTTGACCTCTTCACCCTTAGAGCAATCTCTGCAGCAGCTCTCAGGGCCAGCCCAGAGTTGCAGTGGCATTTCAGTATTTTGTTTGTATTAACCGCCAAAACTTGATGTCTCCTTGCCTTCCTGCAGGGGAACTACCTGGGGAGGTCGGGCTCCCTTTCCTGTGCTCTGCCTGACTCTGAGATGCATGCTGCTTGCTCTTCCCTACAGCTTAAACAAGAATGTGCCCATTTTCGTGTGTACCATGGCCTACCCCACCGTTCCCTGCCCACTGCACATCTTTGAGCCTTGTTACCGTCTGATGATTCGTAGATGCATTGAGACAGGCACAAGACAGTTCGGCATGTGCCTTGGAGATCCCGTCAAAGGGTGAGTGAGGAGCTATGTGAGGAAAGAGTGGTTGGGTTGAGGGGTGGGTTTGATTCCCTTTGGAGAGCCCCCAGGAGATGGGAGGCACAGCGCCCGAGATTTAGCTGGCGTGTAGCCACACGACCGCAGCATTTTGTACAGGTCAGGGTTCCTTTGGCCCTCCTTTTCCAGGTGAGAGTCTACCTATTTAAAGGAACCTCAGGGTTCCTCTTTTGTGAAAGGAGGTGGTGTCTGCTATAAAATGTATTTTATAGGAATTCCAGGCCCTGCAGTCAAACTGCCTGGATTCAGATTCTGGCCCCAGACTCGGGCAAATTATTTCACCCCTCCATGACTCTGTTTCCTTGTCTATAAAGTGGAGGTATGCTGGCCCCTACCTCAGTGGGTTTGGGCAAACTGGTGAGTGTCCAGGAAGCAGCAAGCACTGTCTAGCACAGAGTCCATGCTCACTCAGTGGTAACAGTTACGCTAGAACATTCAGTAGTTTCCACACAGGTCCCACCTGTTAGGTAGTTACTGCTGTAGGTCCTGGAACAGGCAGATGGGCAGATGTCCCTCAAGGCACAGTACGGGTAACACAAATGGCTATGGCTCAGGCCCAGGCGACAATTCATCAAGAATTTACTTTCTCGATAAACAGGTTTGCAGAATATGGCTGTATCCTAGAGATCAGAAATGTTCAGTTCTTTGCCGATGGCCGCTCAGTGGTTGACAGCATAGGCAAGAGGCGCTTCAAGGTTCTCCACCAGGGCCAGCGGGATGGTTACAACACAGCCGACATTGAATACATTGAAGACCAAAAGGTGAGGATGCCCAGTGCCAAGAATTCCTAAGCCAGGCTGCTCCTGGCTTGGCACATGAACATGGCTGCAAAAGCATTTCTCAGCACTGCTGGGGCTCTGAAAACTTCTCACCAACTTGCTGCAGCAACATTGAACAGATCCCTGTTCTGTGGTAGAGTGGCAGAGAGCACCTGATATTTGGTTGCTAAGGTGTAGTCATGCATAAGAAATGCCCAGCCAGACCACCCCGGGGGCCTCCTTAGCCTTGGAATTAGGTCTCTGCCAGGGATTCCAAAGAAGAGGTCTGGAGTAGGGTGTCCACATTTAAACCTTTTTCTTTCACATACTTGTAGATTCATGTGCACATTTTATTTTTAAATGTGCAGCCTGACAAAGAGCCCTTCCCAATAATCCATCATCTCAGGAGGCAGAAAGATGACATGTCCAGTTAATCCTTGGTTTTTTGGACTAATGGGTAGAAGAGGAGGTAAATAACCCCATGCTTTTTGTATTTTCTAATCACTACATAGAGCAAGATTAATAAATATTTGATCAACAAATACACGTATTTGACCTGGAAGATAGAGTTATGCTTAGAGACACAGACACATTTCCTGTCTTTCGTCTGGGTGAGCAGTGGCAAAGCAAATGTGAAAAACAGGAAAGGAGAGGGCCTGGCCAGCAGAACAGCATGCCTCATGAGGGCTGCTTTGAATCTCTGCTTTTCTAGCTGGCTTGCACTTTCAGCTCATCTACCCAGCTGAACCTGTCTCCTCCCTCCACCCCAGAAGTATTTACACAAGGCCCACATCATCTGGCTGGGGGCCCTTTCACACAGAATTCAGAAGAGGGCCGGGTGGGTGAGCCTTCCCATAGGGAGAGACGTGGGGCTCAAAGAAAGCCAGGGGTCAAAAGCAGCTTTGGAGTGAGGGAGACACTACAGAATGTTTCACGCCTGTTCTGACACTTCCAGGTTCAAGGAGAGGATCGCGCTGAGCTCATGGGATTGCATGACTGTGTCTATGAGCAAGCGTCATCGTGGTTTCATTCGCTGAAGTCATCACTGAAGAATCGGATTCTCAATCACTTTGGCCCAATGCCAGAGAAAGATGCTGATCCCCAGGTATATAAAAACGTCTCTTGGTGAGCAGTTGCCTGCCAGACGAGGGCCTGGGGTTTGTGAGTGGGTGGGTGCACGATGGCATCCAGCAAAGCAAGTGTGGAGAGGAAGGTGGATCTGATTTGCTTTTGTTTGGCTGGGTAGTGGGTTCCACAGGTAAGACCGGAAGAACTCCAAGTCAGAGTTAGACTAACAGCATTAGGAACTTGGGTCTGAGGTCTTGAGAGAGAAGTCAGGTTGAGAGAACAGGAACATGGACACAACCAACAGAAGACCTTTCAGCACGAGTCCAGACTTACACCATGGGGATGTGTTAGGGTGACAAGATTCGCACAAAGGCCAGGCTGAGAGAAAGGTGTTTGGGACTGAGGCTAAAGGTTGCCACTTCCAGGGTGCTTCCTCAACTTTTCCCCATTGCTGTAGGAGCTGGGCATGAGGACCAGCTACTTTATGAAAGTCCAACTGCTACAACTACAGAAACTTCACACTGGATTCCTCACACTTAACCCTGGCAGTTCTGGACCCTGCACGTATCCACATCAGGGCCGAAAGGTCCTGAAAGGTCCTGACTGAGCCTTTAGCTATACCCTTGGCTAAGAAAAGCAGTTCATTAGGTTCATTAGGTTTATTAGCAGTTCATTCGGGTCTCCTTCCTGGGATGGTGGTGAGGGGCAGGTCCATTTGCTGACCATCATTCCCAAATATCAAAATAGAAATGAAAATGCATGTTTGCCTTCCCTGCCCAAAGACTGGTCCTGCTTTTACCTCTCTAGCTGTGTGACTTTGGGTAAACCCCTTCCCCCTTTCCAACTTGTTTCCCATTTCTGAAATAAGGGAAGTGGGCGAGGAGGTCTCCAAAGTCCCATCTTCCTCTTGCCTTCTGATGCTATGAAACACACCAGCTTATTTCCTAAGGAGCTGAAATATCTTGCTTTCTCCAGACCACAATGGAGGTTTCTCTTCCCCAGGCAAAGGCCTGAATGATGGAGGGGAAAAGGCCAGTTAGTGCTTCCCAGTGACCCAGAACTCCTGGTTTCTGGGCCACTGTGACTCGGACTAAAGCAGAGCTTCTCAACACTCTTAATGCTTAATAACAGCTTCTTCCACAAAAGAAAGCACAGATGTCACTGAGTGATTCATAAGGACTCAGTGACACAGAAAGCTGAAATCTTGAGTCTCATTTCTTTTCTTCTTGGGACTGTCATTATGTTGCTTTGGTGGCAACAGTGAGGGAGAAAAAAAAAAAGACTAAAATATTCCCTCTTGTTTGATCTAGTCAATGCTGCTGTCCCGGCAATCCCATTAATAAGCGTGTTCTGAGCCCCAGGAGGTTTCTCAGAGCCCCCGCGGGTGCTAACATCAGCCTCAGGAAGCAAGGCCAGAATATGCTGTCTACTACTCAGAGCTGGTCTTAGGAGGGGCAGCAGGTGACAGACCACAGTGAGTGACAAGAAAGAATCCAAGTGAAGCACAGAGGAGCAAGGGGGGAGGGCGATGTCAGGTGCAGAAACTGGTAAATTGATTTGGGTGCATTTAATCCCACAGGTAGGTGGACAGAATGTGATTCTTGGGGTGGGGGGTTCTAAGCCAAGTTTCTGTGGGTGGCGAGGAAAAGCTCATTTTGGGCTTCATGGGAAATGTCACCACAGTCTAACATGTGTGCCTGGGAAGCTGCTACCAGCAGATCTTGGTGAAGGATTTGTGTGGAACCAGAAAGGTCTTTATTAAAAGGCAACTCAGGTGAACATGTTTTCTAACGGGAATTTGTTGATGACTGGGAGTTCTCCGCTTGGGGGCTATGAATGCCAGGGTTTGGTTTCACGGGAGAAGTGAGCTGTGGCCCTGTTGAGTGACATGGCATATGCCTGTGTCTACTACGTGAAGGGACTACCTTGCCCTCATTCAGAAGCAGGGACATGAAGGAATTAGGGGGCATGGCAAGCAATGGGTTCCCAGGCCCACCTGTTGTTTACACCAATCTTTAGGACCCAAACAGAATCTTAAAGCCAGAGGACTGAGTCCAGCTGGCTAAATCATGCTGGGTAGAGGCTAGTGTGTATTCTTTGGGGTACTGGCCTGTTAGCTCTAACCACTCCCCCAAATAACTAGCTCAAACAAGATAGAGGGCGTTAAGTCCTGGAGAGGCTAAGGCAGCTCATTCCATAAGATCTTTCAGGGACCCAGCTTCCCTCTTCACAAATCTCTACATTCCTTAGAATGTTTCCTGCATCCTCCTGACTGAAGAAGGCCATATCCACGTCCACATTCTAGCCAGGGGTAAGAAAAAAGGAAGATGAAGGGCTTAAGCTGTCTTCCTGGAGCATGACCCAGAAGTTAACACAGATCACTTCCCTTTATATCTCATTAGCTAGAACTTTGTCTCATGACCTCCCCAAGCTGCCAGGGAGACATGTAGTCTTTTTTTTTTTCCTCTTGGGTGACTATATGCCCAGTTAAGATAAGAGGAACATTTTAATCTTAAAGGGCAATTAGCAGTCTCTGCCACACACAGAAGCATCTCTACCCACCTGGATGCTTAGCTTGAGGCTTTGGAAATCTGCAGGTGGTATCACTTCCGGGGATGAACCCATTGTGTTTCTCTGTTGCAGATGAACCCGAACGGTCCAGCCTGGTGCTGGTGGACATTAGCGGTTCTACCATTAGAAAGCCGTGCTCAGCTCCCGTTCCTAGCGATGAGGTCCTTGAAGGATAGATTGAATGGTATTCGGCGAGTCCTGGCCTTTATAACCCGAAACCAAAACTAGTGAGTGTGAGTTGCTGAAGAGGAAATTGCGCCCTCCCCACTGTCCTTCGGGGAGTCATCTTGTAAATATATCTAATTGCAATAACATCTTAACAGAAGGAAGTATCAAACAGAGGCATTACTCTGCTATTATTCACAGAGAGCAATTGAGTAGAAAGACCAAGAGAATGGGACCTGTTTGAAACTTTCTGTCTTAAGATGCTTCTTGACATGCTGCACAACTACATGCACAGCAGAGGTTGTTTAAGAGCCCAGAAGAAAAAAAAATTCATTTGATTTTGACATAAAATTTTCTGAAAGTTTAAAGTGGTTTTGCTTTAATTTCCTTTCTCTCATAGATGAATGATTGTGTGGTTGAAATGTGAAGCAAAGACACTAATAATGTTGCTGCTTTATTTCACTGACTTGAGGTCTCATTCCAATGGTTTAGGTTTTATACAGCATTGTGTAAAAAGTGTTCATACTTCTTTCTGTTTTAATAATTTATTTTTTGCACTACTGTATCCTTTTTTCTACATGGATGTTTATAACTATTTAAGTGTAAATAACTGGAAAGTCAGTTGCTTTATTTATTGATGTGGCTTACCGTATACCTAGGGGGAAGTAACAGTGCTCAAAATGTGCAGTTTTTGCTTTAACTGTTTGTTTTTTTTTTTGACATCTCATTCTAGTTCTTGAGCTATTTTTGTGTTTGTCCAATTGGATGTTTACCAAAGAAATTCAGAATCATGCCGACATAAACTATGTCACAGATTCCATTTTGTTTTCACTTTGAATTCAACCATATCAAAGTGAAAGGATTTGGCTTAGATTGCGGTATGTGCCAGTGTAAAGTAAAATAATCAACTTTCAATGTGCTGTCCAAAGGAAGACTAAAGAAATTATTTTTGGGGGAGGAAGAGATGAGTCAAAGGAGTATCTTTCTATTTTTTATTTCAAAGAAGTATCTTTGACGGCAATCTAGTATGAGCACTTACTTCAGCCATCTCTAAGTATATCTTATTTCTCCCCCATGCACTTAGGAATGGGGTTTTTTAATGCAGGCTAAAACCTAACCCTTTACTGGGGATGGTTGTCAGTCATAAGTTTCTCCACTTGCTAGATGCGTTGCTTTGCAGAAGTGATGTCACTCTTCCTAAGCCCCACTTCCCTCATCTAGCCAACGCTAGTGATAAATACCACATCTAGGTATGTGATAAATGCTACATGAGATGATATGTGATATCTCTTACCTCTGTACCTAGTGCATAGCAAACATCACTATTACTAGATTGTTTATAGTTACTGAATATCATCAGGGACCTGCATTTGCAGAAAACACTGCCTTTACACACAATACCCTTTTAAACTTAATACCCAACCCAGGCAGTTCCTTACTGGGTCAAGTCTAGGAAAATGAAGACTAGGAAACAAGTAAAGGTCAGAGGTAAAGGTGAATTCTGTGTCAGCACATTTTTCCTATTTCAGTGGGGCTAAAAAAAAATAGTGTTATTTGGAGATCTTGAATTTCCATTTAGTAGCTCTATTAGAGTAACCAACTCATCACTCGCTGCTCTGTACAATGAATTGAGAGTCTCAGTCATGTCAAGAACACATTTTATTGTCTGTGATGTTTAAGCTTAATCCAAGGCATGTCTTTATGCTGTCCCAACAAAAAGGTATCCAGCATTCACTATGAACCAAGTACTGAGCCAGATATGTGATTTCACATACAAGAGCTCATTAGTCATTTATTTCTCATGTCAGCCCTCTGAAAAGCCATCGCTAATCAATCTAAGTGGAATGGGAAGTTTAGTTTTTATTTTTAAGTCCACGCTGTAGAATGCATCACCTTGATGACTGGTGAGCACCTCACTCCAGCAAGTGTAGACTTTGGTGTGGCAGAATTGCAGTTGATGCTCAGCAGCCCAGCTCCACATTGAGAGTGTTTTATAACAAGCTTTTGTTGCGGTAGTGCTAAGATGCAAGAGCCAAGGCTAAGCTTTGGCTTTCTTTGGAATGCACTTAAATGGGGTAATCAATTGGACATGATCATTTTCTGCACTTGTAAGTTGATTTTGTTGCAAAATGTAGGAATGAAGAGTATTCCGAGAAAGGACAAAAAGCTAAATCTAGGTCAGAAGGACAAGACTTCCCCCTGGGTAGGTGGTGCCATTTATTTGGTTAGATTTCCTGTCTATTGCGACTGACCTAGTCTTTTTCTAGTAGGTTGTTTTCCTGGTATGTGTATGTGTATGTGTATGTGTATGTATGTGTTTGTATATGTATATGTATATATGTATATATGTGTGTGTGTGTATGTTTAATAGGTACCAAGCAGACATTATGCCTTTCTGCTTTGTACTGAACTACTGCTGCTAGCTAATAACCAGCAACATGTAGAAAGTGAAAAACAATAGAACTAATTTTCTGTAGACAACCTGGAGAAAAGAGTGTTTGCCCCTGATTTCAGAGGGCAGAGAATTGACTATTTCAACAGTCTTTTCTGAAGACTGACAGCTTCTGACCCAGTGCTGAGGCAAAACAGGGCTGGTCAGCTCACTGCACATGTGGCCCTGCCAGCGCTGCCTGTGGAGCTACTTGGGCTCAGATAATCCCCTGCGGCTGGCCATTGGGCAGTGGCATTCCTGAGCTTGGTTCGCAGCTTCCAAAGGTCTCTTACTGTCAATAGATTAATTCTATTGATGGACTAGAATCCACTGGGGACTGTTCCCCCCTGCCAACTCCATTCCCAAGATGGGACTTTGATTCATAGGACTCATTCCTTGAGTTCACAACATGTAGACTTTGCATCCATCTGTTTACCAAGGCAGAATCATAGTAGAAGACTGTAATACGGATGCAACCCAAATGATGGAAAAGGACAGATACTCAGCTCATTCTTGGGCTTGAGGAAGGAGGTTTTGATTTATGATCAAAGACAGTTCTGAAAAGCAGCCACTGTATGGGCTGCAATAGGTGGTCCTTCTTCAGCATAGAGAAGAAGAAGGAAAAGGAACCACTGTTCAGCTATTTAATAATCTGAGTTATGCACATCCAGAGATGAAATGAAGACATTTTCACTTACAAATGAGTATTTTCAAATGTGTTTAACCTTGAGAGAGAAGTGCCTGTAATCTCTTCCTGGTGTCATTTTAAAGTCCTTGCTTCTTGACTCTGTAAACTGTTTAAAAAATCTGTGGCAGCATATGTGATTAACAGAAGTTTACAAAGCAACACTGTAGCTTATGCATCATTGTAGAAGTTGCTTAACATTTATCTATTGTCAAAGCAACAACAATAAACAAGATAAAAAGAGAGCAAATAGGTCAATGTGGCATCATAGGCTTATCGTAGATAAATTAGTTCCATCATTCTATGGAGTGCTCAGACATGCCAGGATTAAAATATCAAGCAAGCCATTTGAACACTGGCAAACATGTATGTGTGTATTTGTTATTTCATTTGTTTGTTAAGCAGCCAGTTTACTCTTGCATTGTAATGAGCAGAAAGAAGATTTAAAAAAATGCTTTCCCCTTCCCACTCCACATACTGCTATTCAACTACCTCTATATGTTTGATTTATCTTTAGGGTTTTCTTTGCTCCAAATCTGTAAAAATAAAAAAAGTTTCAGCTCATCTATATTGTAATAACAATGTGATATATAGACAGTCTCTGTGAAAGCTGTTTGTTCATTAAAGAAATGTTTCCTAGTGTGTCACTTTGTATGTAACAAAACTCTACCCATACCTTAGGGCAAGAATTACCCAAATAACTTAAGTTTCACTTTGTTGGAAGTTGAATAGGAAGGGAAGTTCAAGACACTTCTATTTTCTTCTTGTTCCTTTTGGTTTTAACATTCGAGCAGAAAAGCTTTCAAAGAAATAGCCTTGAGGCGCAAGCACCTGTGTATGTGATAGTGAGGCAGGCGTGATCTGTAATATTAATGTATTCAATGTGCTCTAAAAAACTGACCATAAATTGTTTTAAAAAGTGTACCAGAACGAGTGTTATTTAAAGAATTAGGATGAAGCATTTTGCCAGTAATCTGCCCCTAGTTTATTTGTGAATCCAGTCACATATTGGGTTTGCTAACAACAGAACACACTACCTACTCTGTTTTCTTTGGCATTATAAAATATTTGTGAAAGCAAATGGCATGTTTTTCTTTCAATTAAACCATTTCTCAACAACTGGCTAAAGCCAAGGCCAAAGCTTGAACCCTTTAACAAGAAAATTGATGAAATGGAATGGGAAATGAGTGTGATTTCCACAGCAGAGCTTCAGAGTCTCTTCATCTGGATGGTACTGATTTTAGTCTTGTACAATTGATGACTTCAGATGAGTTCTACTTTACCACTGGGGGGAAAAGACATGGAGGTGGGACAACTAAAGGAATGAAAAGCCCACTTAGGCCTGACGTTGTTCTTCATAACAGGATCTTTTGGGGTAATCGAGAAAAATTAGAATTCCAACCCAATAAGCCCCAGAAGGAATGCTTGGCTCTATTAGACATTGCCCTCTGCACCTAGTCTGCTCTTCTCTGGTCTCATTAGAGAGCCTACACATTGGTCAAAGTTACGATGTTCCCTCCAAGGTAGCCCTTCTGCCCATGATGGCTGTGTGACTCTCTCTAGAGTTGGGTTGGATTGTCTTACTTAGAATTAACTCCCAGGTCATCAGCAGAACCAGAGCCAACACTTCCTGCTTCCACTTTTCCGCAATCCACCCGTTGAGTTTGCTTGGGCCAAAGATGCCTCTGTAGAAGGTACTCCCAGTGTCAAAATGAGATGTAAGCAAGAGAAGGGAAGAAAAGTGCTCTAGCCCCACAGCCTCCCACACAGCTACAGTTCCCTTCCTCTCAGTGTCATTTCTTCCCCTCCTAGGAAAGGCTAAAGGAGAGGGAAGGGGTTAGTGTCAGTACTCTCCAAATGGACCTCTTCCAGGTGATGCAGAAACTTCCCATTCAGACTTGCTTTGGGTCACCCCAACAGAGAGGTATGCCCTGGTCAAGGCAGAAAACTGCAGGCTCCAAGTAACACTCTTTCCTTATCTCCAGGAGCCCTTATCCCCTCCCTTCTAGTTTTTTGTTAATGGATTTTCCCATTTCTGCCTGCAATAGAAAGCCATGAAAAACCCTTTCCTTACTTACCTAAACTCCCTTGCAGAACACTGCCTACCTTCCAGTAAGTAATGTTAACAACTTCTAGAACCCCCAAGGGCAACAAAATTAAGTCCTGAGACAGTTTACTTGCCCTAAGCCCAGTCTTGCTATACCTCACTTGCATCTTAGGGGTAAGGTTATGAGGATAGTCAACACAGTCATGGAAACAGATTATTGCTCATCAAGATGCCTTTTGCCATTCCGGTATCCTGGCAGCTACAATCTCCAGGACCACATGATCCTTCTGCAAGTGCAAGTGAGCACTATCATAAGAGCAGAGGTGAAGGCTGAGGGTATTATGTCCACAAATGGAATCAGGCCTTTCAGCTTAAGCAGCCCACAGGGATGAGTTCCCATTGGAGGGAGAGAGAAAGGTATGAGGATGGCTAATCGCGAGAGTTGAAGCGGTGACCTTTTTGCCACCATTTGACCCAAAATCATGCCTCTTTTTTCTCATATTGACTGGGTTTGATCTTCTACCCTACCTGAGGGTGCCACGTATGCCCACATCAAGACCGCATCATGCCTTCAGGAAACATGAGTCATGTTCTTACATCCGTAAGCATCCAAAGGTTAAATGAATTCCATCGAGTGTTTACAATTGCCAGGCTCTTTTCTAGGTGGTGGTGTTTTTTTGTTTGTTTGTTTTTGTTTTGTTTTTAACAGCTTTTCATCAAATTTCAATGTTTGAAGTAGATTGCTAGTCCCATGTTACAGCTAATAAATATGCTGCCAAAGCCTCCTCCCTAGTGACTACAAATTCAGGGGTTCCACCACAGCTTCCCTGGCTTGCTCACCCACTACCCACTTCTGTGGTTACTTGAAATATTCCTGTGTCACTGGAAAAAAAATAAAATGAGTACAGATTTGGTGAGTCAAAAACTAAAATGAGTGAGAAAATTCCATGCTGCCAGCCTGTAGTTTTAGCACCATGTATTTCAGAGCTTAGAAGAGGACTTAAGAAATCATCTGGCTTAGCTTCCTGCTTCTGATCAGTGTATTTTCGTTTTGCAGATAAGACAACTGTGATTGTACAACAGTGTCCATGGTCTCCCAGGAAGCAGTGACCAGTGGGGAAGGGAGCCTCACATTTTACTTACACTTTCCACAACAGGAAGCTCATGGCTGGGCGTCCTCACCTCATGATTGTTCTGATGCGGAAGCTCATGGCTGGGCGTCCTCACCTCATGATTGTTCTGATGCGGTTGTATCTGTATGGCAGAGGGAGCTTTCACTGGGCAGAACAAAAGGTCTCTTTAAAGCAGCTGCAGCCTGTCTGGAAAGGGCCTTCAGGGCTTTTTCTTTGTCAGAGTCTCCTCACCCTGCCCTTTTCTCTTCTGATTGATTAGCCATTCAAGATTTCCTCTCATGTAGCCTGTGAGAAACTTCCACCCCACTCAAAGATGTCTGATTTCAGTGGGTCTGAGGCAGGCAGTATCCTGGCTATTTGGCTGCAGCCTAGAATTGACTAAGCCAGCAAGCCAATGTTAATAAAAAATAATTCATCAAATCTCTCTGTGTGAACAGAAAATGTATATAAGATGCTCTGCCTTGAGACTCGCTAAAAGCTGTGTCCACAGACACATATACTTGAGGGTCTTTGAGAGCTCGATGTGCATAGATGGACCTTTCTGCTTGATTTGCTTCCTAGCTTCTGAGCAAAGCTGTACTTGGAAATAGCCTCCCAACTTTAGCATCTAGATGAAAGTCAGTTAAACATTCACTTCCTGTTCTTTCCCTGTTTTATTCATCTGGCAGGCTCTGTCTGTGCCCCACCACACTCGACCTACCCCATATTGTATCCATAATCATATTTCCACCTGGCTTTCCTCCTTGAGCTCTTATTTTCTGGAGCTTGCATTATCCTGTTCTGCTCATTTGCTCTCAGCTACACTTCTCCCCCCAGTAGCCTCTAAATTCTACATACTTACTCATCCTCTGTGTGGTCCAGCTAGTGGCCCCCAGCGTCTCCCCAAATGCACATTGCCTTCTAAAGTGTTTCAATATGGGTTCTCCATATACATGTGCATTTTGATTGTGATGTCTGTGTCTCTGGCTTTTCAAAAACCAAAAGCAGAATAATATCCACAACCCAGGAAACCGCAGTGATATAAGTCTAGTTCTGACTGTCCTCTATCCACCATTCAAAACCCCTCGTTTTCCAGGAACAGCATTATATCTCTTCCCACCTCTCTTATCCCATAGCTGTGGAGTGGAAAGCTAGAACATCCTGTCTATTTTGCTAAAGAAAAGAGGTCATCAGATTGAGCCCAGAGGTGTATGTGTGGGAGCTTCTCAATGAAGAAACCTTATTTCACTGTTTTTCAACATGACTATCCACTTACAAAATAGGATTATGGACATCTGCAAAATGAGAGCTAGATAGACAAACTCTTGGATTAACATTCCACAGTGACCTAGAAGCACATTAAATTAAAAGAGTAGCAAATTTCTCATACTGAAAACATGACATCTGTAACTGCCTTTTAAGATTAGTAGTGGCGTATATACATTATGAGCTTTTCAAGGGCAAAGGCCCACATTCTGAATCATTTCCCTAGAGTGTACCTTGAGAAACATGATAGTGTCACTAAATGTTTTCATCCATTTGGGACTTGGACATGAATAGAAACTTGTACAGGAATAACTGCCATTAGATGAGCCCATTTGAAACCCAGCAGTTCATCTAGAAGAATATCAGCTGTCATCTGGGGGTTTGAGGAATTCCAGATGTT